TTTAAATCTCTATCCTTCCTACCAGCAAATCCCAAAATATACTACTCAATTTTTAATGGTTTGGAATGGCTGACAATGTTTTCAAAATAAAACCTACTTTGTTTCGAAAGGATTCGCAATGCTTTTAAATGAGATAAATAAGTAGAAACTAATACAAACACTTTAATAGAGACCATAAACGGACGTTATAATTTGGAAGACGTAGACGCAGATGGAATGATATTATTTTTCTTTTCATCTCCAGTACATAGCATTCAGCATGGTGGTTAGCAGGATTCACGACCCATCAGTACATGGGTTCGATCGGGACCGCGACATTTAACGCGAGATGATGATGAAAGTGGATTGGGATGCCACGGAGAAACCGGGGAAACCCCGGAGGAAAACTCCGTGATGCCTAGACCACGGTCTTGCCCAACACAAGTTGTAAATCTGAGCACCGCCGGGAATCGAACCCGGGACCTCAATATTACAAGCCCAGCGTTCTAACCGTTAGACCACCGTGGAGGTTATGATATTATTAAAACGAATCTCAACCGAAATTTATTGCGAAGCTGTTAATTGAATTTATCTTATATATTAAATATATATTAAGTATATATTAAATTTTGTCCGTCTAATCACAATAATTCTTATTAAATATTAAAATATTACAATAATTAACATTTAAAATATTTAAAATATTAAATGATGTTCTTTATCGAAATATTCGATTTACATTAGACCATCATTTTTCATGTTTCACGACATGTTTCAGTTCCTAAAAGAACCATCCTCAGGTTAATTATTGTAATATTTTAATATTTAATAAGAATTATTGTGATTAGACGGATAAAATTTAATATATACTTATTATATCACAATATGACGCAACTTTACCATCTTATGAATTTACCTTACTTGACATAGGGTCCATTGATGAGATTTTGTGAATACGGTCATGAAACTTCGAAATCAACACGAAATTCCCTGAGTATGTGAATAATTATGCTCGGTGGAGTCGGTTAATGTTCAGACGTACTTAGCCGAATTCTCAGAGTGCCTGTTAGCATTTTGATTTTGTTTTGGAAAATT